GTCCGCCGTTGTCAGATCCAAAACAATGATCACGCCAACAGATTGTCTTCCAGCGGCACCTATACCCTGAAGAAGGCGAGCACCAATCAATGAATTCATACTCTGAAATGCGTGGGTACGTCAGAAATCCCCATGGACACACTAGACCAAATGGGAACGTACCGTGGCCAGCCCACACCACACGGTTCCAGCACCAAAAATAAGCATTGTACCATTGAACACTTGGGCACGCCCAAAGATGTCAGCGAACCTGCCAAGAAGAGTTTGTGTGACGGTAAAGCCCAACAAGTACGATGTTGCAATCCAGTTTTGGTTAGCGAGGTCGTCGAAGTCAGCTGCGATGATATGCATGGCAGTGGTAGCGGTGGTCTCGTTGAAGTAAGCAGTGAAGTTGCCAATCCATAAACTCGCCATGATCAGAAAAAAGTGGGTACGAGTGACGACCACAGCGGGCTGTTGTTGCTGTGGGCATTCAAGTGTCTCCTGCTGGCAAGTTTCCAGTGACTGTTTGTGAAGAGACTCAGGTAAGGAGACTATGGGCATCTTGTCTTCGCCCATGATGATGCTGTTGTTCATGGTCGCGCATCGCGATAGAGTAAGAGTTGGCGATGAGGTCATGGGGGCCGGGAGCTAGTGATGAATGAGAAAAAGCTAATGTATTAGTAGGGCGAACATCAAGGCGGTTCAAGGTATCAGCACGCGAGAATTGGAAGCGCAACCCTCGAAAGTCTGGAAGTCTGGGAATGTCAGAAGGATACGTGACTGAAGCTGACTGAATGAGGTTGCACTTTGAGGAAATACGGCGCTACTTGAACCCATCGGCGACTTGATGTACACACACGAGCACCGTTCCCTGCACACGGATCCGCGGGGACGAGGGACAGATCCCGAAACACTATGTGCGGAAACTCGGCGAGAGTTACTTCAGGCACTTATTTCCGAAGATACAGACGGTTAAGGCCTCTGGGGCCAAATTCATGAGTAAAAAAGGAGGTGACGATTACAGAAGTACTAGCCAGGAAACTCTGAGGAACGGAGCGCAAACGGAGCGTCCGGAGAAGACGTATTGTGACCAAAATTGATTTTAGCCTAATTCTTGACCCCATCTAGTGTTAACCGTCCGCGGAAATCATGTGCCCCTCATCTGCGGAACGGGTGTGAGATCTTATATTATATTATAGATAGCATGGGGACATGGAAACGCACTGCACATGCCCGAAAAAACGGATGCTTTGAGTTGCACAGTCAATTGGCCGGCCAGAGATATGCAGATTTTTAATGGGCTGCAACTGCTTAATGCCACGCCATACGCCGGTTGGGTCTCTGCTGCCAGATCGGCGACAACAGATTCGTTGACTAGTATCGATATCGCTTGTTGTGATTCAGATTCACTGAGAAGAAAGAAGGGCAAGGTTCAGAAGTTACTAGCTTGGAAATTGTGCTGTTTACTCAATGTTTACTCCACCGAAACCGGACATCGCAGTTTGAACGGCTCGGCAAATAGTCCATAGAACAGCACAAGATTACTATCCGACCGCGAGCCTCGAGGAAGGCAGGTGTATGAAAAATGAGGTGAGCGGAGTGATATAATATAATAAAGGTCTAGCTGATGAGTCAATCGATTGTGCCTTTCCATCATGCTGTAAACTGTTGTCGAGTCGGTGTCCAACCCTGAATTCTAGATCTGCCATTCTTCCATTCTTCTTGGGGCTCTCGAGTCTCGATACCACTGTCCTTCTCTTCGCTCGCATTGACATATTTTCTCTCCGCCAAACACATGGGACGTGACAACCCAGTCATTTTAAGTTCTAGTGACTCCGTGGGTTCTGATTGGTTATAGATCATTTAGACTCGTGAACTGGCTGTACTACTGGCCGCCGGAGAACGCGAATGGTGTGCACCGCGGTTTGCCGGCCACCAAGACAAACTTTACTTGCACGCGTTCACGCTGTTTCAAACGAAAATTTCTCTTCACTGTGCGTCGTGAATGCTTGGTCAATACGTTGAAATCTATGACGTTTATTGATCGATCTGTGGCAGCCCTTCAAGCTCCACGTGTAAGCTCCTGAAGATCCCCCTGTGGCCTAGCTGCTGTGCGTAGCAGTCACAGTGTTGTTACTAACCCGTTATGCATTATAATCGGTTAAGTAATTAGTAAAATGAATCTGAGGGTAAGTTATTTGGCTTAATGGTGGGGCTTCAATCACTATCATTGTTCCGTTCGATCCTCTGCTATTGTCCCGGCCTCCAAACTGCCCTGAGGAGTAGGGAAAGTCCTTGTCATCAGCATGATGAGCACGGGCAGGATGTCGACAACGATGACAATGAGGAGTACACATTGATATCTGAGACAGGCCCTTCAGAAGGCGGCAGGCTGCGATGAATTTGTTGCTTCTTCGGTCAGAAGATAATGTTTCGCATCCACCACATGCTCAACTGGTCGGTTGTGGTTCGATTCATGGGACGAGTTTGGGTTCCAGAACGTGAAAGAAAGTGGCGCTTTGTTCTACGAACTAATGTCGTGCCTACGTGAGGGTGAAGAGAGTACGGGGGTGTTAGCATTAAGCATGGAAAGTACTGGATCACTCGAAGTAATTAACTATTATTTAACCTGTTAACCTATAGTGGTTAGGACGCTTCGCAACGGGCTAAACTTTGCATTTTTACACCATTCAATACTATTATTAGCAGCCCAGCTTCGCGGGACGCGCACCCCTGGCCGCCCCCATAGTTTTTGTAACTTGGTGAATGGCCGTCCGATAAGTTCAAACAGCAAAGCTACAGGATACGGATGAGCCTAGCCTCACACTTCGGATTGAAGCCAGCCAATTGCAGCGTGGAGGATAGCCAATCAAAATGTTGGCTTGTCCCCTGTGAAAAAGCAGACGAGTACTATTTTAGACAACAGATTACTAAATTAGGATGACCCTAGGGCTTATGGACCCTGATTGGCCCTAGAAGTCGGAATAAGAGCTTCAAAGTTGTCGTTGTCCTCCTGTGTGGGAATGATCATTCTACTCAATTGTATCACGGGATAGTATGTAACAACACTAGGTGCGTACGTTTATGCGTGCATGATTCGTGATGCCGCGGGTAAACGAACCTTTGTGACATGTCACGGTGTATCCCTCAGCCTCCGCGGGTGTTTTACTCAGATGATCATTAAATCTTTTTGGCCGCGAGGCTCTTCCATTACGCAGCCTTGGTTCCTTGAGGCTCAAGCGCTGAGCTCCAGGCCATCACCTGCTGTCAGTGTCATATCTCCCGCCACCTTGCAGTGCCGTCACCAGAAATGGCAACGTGTTGCGTTGGACCAGTTCCGGATCTCACAATAACGATGTATTGCTCGATGAGCGGCCAAGCTGCAGATCATATTGTGCGTGTCTCTCGATCGCTTCATGTTGTTTCCTGGTGTTCCAAGGGCATTCTTATTGCAGAATAAAGAGCAGTAGTGTCTGTGCCGGCGACCGCAATTTCAGCTTCTTGCCATGGGGTAAACTTGACTTGTGAAGCCGATCAGAGCGGGTCCCTCCCAATCTACAAAGTCACGGTCTTTCGGACCTCTTAAATAAGCTTTTCCCTTTGCAATGCTGGTTCTTACGCCTATATTTAGTTCCAGGGGCTAAACGGTCTTTGCAGCTGTTGTTAGATTTTCAACTGGTTCCCCGCGGATTCATTCGGTCACTCAGCCACTGGTTGCCCCTAACCCATGTGCATCATCTTGTCGTGTTCATGTGCTTGACGGCGATATCGATCAACCTTGATCAATGCCTTGTCTTCCGATTATTAGCAACATGATTTAATAGCCACATTCACCTCACGTGTACGAAGGGAATGAAAGCGGCCCACCGGATGTGCCGTTATTCTTGTGCACCCAACAAGTCGTCGGTGATCTCGATGGGATATATATAATCACAGCTCAGGGTATGCGACGGGTGAGAAGTTATCTGATTAGTGAGCCACAATATACGTATCATTGCCACATCAGCTTGACAAGCGCCCATTAAGTTATTACTATTGTCCACATGATTCATGATGGCACTCATCTTGGTGGCACTAGGACGTAGCTATAGTAAGCCATGTCCTTCGAAGTTTCGGCACTACTCTATTATTAGCAACACGGATCACCGTTATCCTGGCTAGCAGAAATTGAATATAACAACATCACTGATCTGGTTGAACATTTTATCAGGAAAAACGTATTTAGCACATGATGGTGCTGAGTTCTGCCGGATTTCAGTAATCTGGACTCTGGAGGACAAACATTACATACTCATTCGGTGGGTTCATTGTAATACCTGTCACGCAATAAATTTAACCTTGCATGGTGCTGCGTAGATCTATGGAACCTGTATTCTGCCTCTCAGAATGCATTAAAAAGAAGAACCGCCAACGAGAGATTACTCAGATTGCGGCCCTGCAGCTCGCACGAGCTCACTGGGACCGATCGTATTGACGGTGAACTGATAAAGCTGATTGTCGTAACCGGGCTTTCCCGAACTGGCGAGATGCAATGAACGACGATGCATGGCTAGATGAAACGAAATATTAATTTTGATCCATCAGATTTCAGATAAGACTCACAGTACGGCAAGATATCCACATCGATTATACGACTCCGGATTTCGGCTTGGTGCCCAACAGTCGGCATGATGTGGTCACTTTCTCGCACAAGATCTATGCAACGTAGTACATGTTGGTACTTAAGAGTTGTAGATCTCAGAGGTGGGAGTCGGCCTTGCGTGCCGTTAGAGATACCACATGGACAGAACATGCCAAAGATCTGGAACAAATGGATTTCTGTCTCGTGGAGATTTATTGAGTCCGCAATCAACAACCGGCATCTCACTCAGCCTGGCAGCTTTCTTGAATCACATCTCCAAATGGGCAGCCACCATGCCGCGCAACTACGCCATAAATACGTCTATCAACACGTTCTGGCACTGCTTTACTTATCGGCCCCTTCAGAATACGCCATTGAGGGTTGGGCTCTTTACTTGCCCATATGCACAAGCGGCTGGACTGACCGACGAATTACGCTGTGTGTAGTAGCAGCACCACATGGGAATCATGGGAGCTCTCCTGTCACATGCTGAAACGCTACTTCAAGAACATTTAAGCATACATAGGCTGATAGGAGAATCGAAGCGAAGCATAGAAAAAACAGTTAATTTAACTATATAAAATCGCGGGAATGTAAGATGATGCCAAGTGTTTGTGAGAGTGCTAGTGATACGGCGTGGTGTTACCATGGAGATCCTCGCAGGCTTGGTCCTCCAGATAACTGCTCGCCGTTTGTGAGCTATCCAAAGAAAGTGAGTCTAGAGGAAGAAGGAGAAGATGATGTACAATACCACAGCATTAATCTGCTTATGAATCAAACACAAAACTAAGTTGCCAATCAGCAAGGTACGACAAGCAGCTCACACATGAAACTCACAGTCCAAATATGACATGGCAGCATTATTCTGGTCTTCGACAAGCATGTCACTAAACTCAATTTCCGTCCCATCCATATTTTGGCGAACGAGAAGCATTTTCGGAGTGCGACCTCGCTGAGCGTGGCGATGCGTGAGTATATTCCTAACCTGAGCAGACAATCGAGTGTGAAGAACTGGGAGCTGGATCTGTAATAACGAAGATCAAAGAAAGGTCATTTTGGCCAACCTGGGCACTAACGATATTCGGATCCAGAGTTAGGAGGTCGTCGACACCAAATAGGTCAAGAAGTAATTGCGGGGACACACTGGAGCCGACCCAAAATATCATGAGATCTTCGTTATCTGATGGAAGGACATAGGTAAGGAAGCTATACCGAAAGAAGTGCGGCACAAACCTATTAGATAGACGCCGTGTGCTTCCATGTAGGTGTGGCTGTCCCGCATCAGTGACGGAAAAGACATCTGACCTGTTGTGGGGTCTGGAAGCGCTGTGTCGTCTGCCAAGTCGTGAAGCGCAAGAAGGCGGGGATAGAGATGCTGCATTGTTGCGCGCACGCTCATAGATAGGATCCTCTGAGCATGATAGTTGCGCACGTCCGCAGACACATTACGACCTGCAAAAGTATGTTGATCAACGAAAGCAAGAAATGACCGAACCACAATAGCACACCTTTGAGGGGTTTGCACTTCATGATCGCTAGGGTGTATACAGGCAGAGCTCGAAATGCTTCAGGTATAATTAGCTGCGAAGCTTGTTAATGAAAGGGACGGAGATGATATCTATCGGACTCGCCTGAGAGACAGCGGTAGCAGCCGCACAATTCCGCCGATAGCCGAGTAATAACGACGAACATCTATCAGTCAGCTCTTCTCGAATGTGAGCCATTCGTCGTGAAGTCAGTTTTGACATCGCTGGAATGAATGTGAGGAAAATTAAAGGTGGCAAAAAGAAGGTAAAATCGGACATTCCCTTGCCAGATGACACACTACGGCATCCATATCAGCATACCTAAAAACGTTGGCGGCCAAGTCTGCCACTTCCAGGGCAAGGTTACATGTTCGGACACGGCGTTGACCATCTGGTGTCGTATGGAGCACAGCGCACTGCAAGAATGCATACTCTCGAGCATCCAACTTCCGTGAGTGCTCGATATGCACGGATATAGCTTTGTCGGAGTCAAGAATTCCAATGTCCAAGTCCGATACGGAACGTTCATGGAAATTTCCATAATAATTTGATATTCGCAGGCCTGCACAACTTCGTGACTTCTTCGGGGAAGATATTGATGAATAAAGACTTACCATTGGAACATCGCACGCGCAATAAGCAATTGTATACTGTCGTGCGAGTTAGTAAACGCCGTAGTTGGGAAGTCAAAACGTGTTGATCTCGTGCAGGATTAAACCTAGGATGGAAAAACAGTTCGCCGCCAGTGGTAGAGGATACAATGCCTGTGCAGATGCTTAGCAATGAGAGCACTGGCAGCATGAAAAAGAAAGACGTGCCGATAGATCCAATATCGATAGGTTTGCTCATCCCAAGGAACATACTGACGCCAATACCCTCCTCTGAGCACTCCTCAGCAATGTCTCTCCATGTCTGATGACGAGGGAGGAACATAGTTCGCTCTTTTTCCGTGCCATATAATGACGCCTGATCATGTAGTGGTTCAAGAGCACCGGGTCCAATTACAGGTAAGACACTCTGGAAAGCAATGATGTGGCCCCCTCGGCCTGCCTGCACAAGCATGCTTTAGCTAGATCACGTGATTATTGACTGGGACGTACGAGCGAAGCTAGCCCAGCAAGCAGCGCTCCCCCAAGCGCTGCATTATCAATGACGGTATCTAGATAACGTTCTGGTAATGCCTTAAGTAGACCTTCGATGGCGGTTCTTGAGAAGGGAATGAGAGTGACTTGAAAATAAAGGTAATAAAGGTTCCTGACCTGGATTTCCAGGGATCTACAAACAAGCCCTCACGCAAAGGAACAAATACTTCCTCTAAGTCGGAAACCACAATCATGCTTGCCAATGACGAGGCTGGCTAGAATTTGTCTATATCAACTTGACGCAATGATGCGAGTTGTACGCTTACAGACAGATCATAGAAGTGTAGAGAGGTGTCATATGTCAGAATCGCAAGCTGAGAATCTTTTGGGAAGGACGGCTCTGGCAAAGTTCCGTCAAGGGAGGTACTGCCGTAGAGCATATCTCGCAGAACATCACAAGTAGCCTTAAGAAAGCCCGATCGTATGGCTTCCAGCGAGACGTCAAACGCAAAAAAACAGTTCAGGGGATTTAGGCTCGCGTGCTTGAGAGGAAGGAGGGTCGATAGAGAAATACGATGAATTCATCTTCGGCAGAGGTGGAGGCGCCCAATATTCTTTTCCTGAGACCACGAAGTCAACAGTCCCCTTGTTCAATTCAGGGCGATTTGGAAGATCTATTCGCATAAGATTTGCGTCCAAATTGCAAAAATAATCCGGCAACACTGGAAACCAAAACTAAGATACCAGTCACTTTAAAGGTCACACCATGCCATACCTTGAGTTTCGTGACCGCAAAGATTACACTTCCATTTCCATCCGCCGGCAGTCCATGCACACCATGGGTTAATGTACCCTCTGCACTCCTTGCACCGAGGGGGACCTGAATCACCGCAGTCCACGACTGGGATAGGCTCTTCGCGAGGATCAAGATCTGCAAATGGCTGGAAACACTGCCGTAAGGGGAATATCGCACTCTTTTGCCAGATGAGAGGAGCTTGGAAGGTTCCACGTTGATACTCTCACGTGTTTCGGGCTTGAGTTTCCTGTAACAGAAGATTCGCTCAATGACCTCGGAGCAAGATTCGAAGCCGAGGTAACAAATTGCCAATGTCTGCAGTAAGACCAGCATGGCATGCAATTGCGTGAGGTGTTGTCTACTGTCCCACCACACATAGCACCTAGCCCGAACGTTACATTCCTGGGAGGAAATAAGGCTTACCTTGGTCAAACGCTGTGAAGTCGGATGTTGATAGTGGTGGATTGTTCCCAGGTAACGTCATGAATGAATTTCCTTCCCATTTCTCCTTGTCCGATTCTATCATGTCTATCGGAGATGGCATCTGACTTGGGTCGATCCGAGGTCGCAACCCTGTGGAAGTAAGTGTCAACCAGAGATCACAAAGTGAAGAGGCAGCTGGCGTTCCTTTGTAAGGTTCCCCAGCACTGTGCGGCGGTTGTGGTATGTGTCTGTTTGCATGCATGTAGATTACCACACTGACAAGTGTAATAGTAGTTGCTGTTGGAAACTGTTGTTTGGCAAAGGCTTTAGATCCAAACAAACAAACTTGAAATTGATTTGCAACGCTTCAAGCGATTCATTCAGTTTGCAGGCATGGCCACTCCGCAAGTTACCTCCGTTCTGCCCATCACAACAGATACGCAATTACCACAATCTTCATCTGCTACACTCAGTGAAGATATAACACCAAATGGCACTTCCATTTATCCTCAATCTCATACACGGTCCCCTCCGAGTCCATTGACTGCCACTTCGAATAGCAACCAAACTACTATAGGCATGGGACCGATGTCTGGTTCTATACATAATGGCGCAAATTTGATTCTGGATCTCATTAAGACTGAAAGACAACAGGTTTTCGAGGTCAGCCAGCGACAGATGGCACACATTCAGCAACAACATAACGAGTATCGCGCATCGTATTCGAAAGTGATTCTGGAAGAATCAATCAAGCGACGTGATGCTGAGGACAAAGTTGTGTACCTCTCAACCGAACTGGCTAGATATACCAAGGGGGCCACTGAAGTGCAGAATATTGCTTTGCAAGCTAGAGCAGACGCAACTGTGGCGCACAATACCGCTTCTGAAGCTGAAAAAGCAGCAGATGAAGCTCGCAGCCACCTTCATGGCGGTCCAGGATGCTCTTCAGCAAGTTGGAATTACTGTTAGTCGAGATGACTCTGTAGCATCCAACACACCGAAGATAATCTTGGGTACGCCATGGCTCGAACTCATCCCATCCCAAATCCATAGCTCAGATACACCACTCCCCGATTCCTCCAGTGTCCCGGACGACAAGCCGGGTTCTTCCCCTTCCCATACCAAGCACCTCAGCTCGCCATCAAAATTTATCTCATCTATTAAAGAACACATCAGTTACCTCAGCGATACATTGACTGCCACCCAAAACAGCTGCAAAAATCTTGACTCCCAACGCGATCAGCTCCAGAGCGACCTCCGTATGCTGTGTCCACGATCGAAACGAGTTTGAAAGCTTAAAGAAGGACAACGCGGAGTTGCTTGGCCAGTGGAAAACTAAGCTTGCGAAATTGGAAAATGAGATACAATGGTTGAAAGTAGAGCGAGATGACGCGATCAAGGCCGAAGCGGAGGCTGCCATTGCACGTGAAGAGATTAGGAGCACCTCGGCAGCTAGTGCAGTCGCTCTCAAATCGTATATTTGCCTCCTGCTCTCAACCTGAATCGTCCTACTAACAGAGGTTTCTACCAGCACGTTCGACCAGCTCTTACAAGATCAACAACGTCAAGCCGAGGCGAACGCTGAGAAGGTTCGGACAGCACTGGGGGACTCTATTGAAACCAAATCTGTGCAAATCCGTGACCTACAGAGCCGGCTCATACAGCTTACGGCCACTGTAAATGAATGGGAGGGTAAATATGATGCAGTCACCGAGGAGCGTGACTCCCAGAAGCAGCTCCTGGTCGCTGAACGGCAGAAATACAAAGAGTATGTAACCGTTCAAACATGTGACACCGTGAATGTTGACTGTACATTCAGAGCAAGCTCGAGCCAAAAGGAACAGATAGATGATTTGCAGAAACGACTGGAAGCTAGTGCCTCAGAGGACACCATAATGACCAAGGTATTACGAATAGAGGAGCTTGAGAAGGAACTGGCCTCAGTCCGGGCACACTATGCGAAGTCGATCCAGGAGAGAGATGAAGCCGTTGCTTTAGTCAAGTCTCGCGATGCACAAATGGAAGAGTTGCAGGAGACACTCGCAGTATCTTCAAGTCGCAAATCAACGAAGGAGTGTGCGCGAAAGAATAAAGCAGGTGGAAGTTCCGAGGAGAAGAAAACTAGTTCATCGAAATCATCGACCCCTCATGACCAGATCCAGTTCAGAGTGCCTGAGGTGCGCCCCGTAGCCGCGCCGATAGGTCTGTATGAATACCTTTCATGTTTAGCGTCCTTTACTAACTTTGATGATAAGCCGATCAACGGTCTAAACAAATCACTGGCCCTAAAAAAATTGGGAAGCTGAAGTCCAAGTCCTCAAGCACTGCACCGGGTTTCTCTGCCGCTCGCCCGATGGAGATTGACTCAGCGTCATCAACTGACGTGGAAATCATCTCTGGACCGACACCAATTGTCTCGCAGGGGTCTAATAGTGAGTGACTATCGAACCAACCTATCGCATTTTTAGTTACGTATTACGTTTATTAGCGAAGCAAAAATCTCTCCGTACTGGATCGAACAAAACGCCTTTAGGTGTTAATACTATCCAGACAGTCGACTCCCCTACAGAGAAGACCAGTCTCAAGCGTACTGCAGACACGAACGATTCTTCCACACCAATCACAAAGCGACCCAAACTCTTTCTTGACTCATCCGCTAGCTCCGTTGAGAAAGCCGCGCCTGCTGCATCCAGCTCGCCGGTTTCAACTCCCTTGGAATCGAGATCTGTGACATCTTCACCAGTCATTGCAAAGCCTGCCTTCAACTTCAAATTTCGAAAAAATCCTGGGCAAGCAAGTACTTCAGTCTCCTCGGGCGGTGCGACGCCATCGAAAGCTATGGCTAGCTCGCCAAATGTACGCACATCCCAGAGCGCGACTTCAAACGAAGCCCCTTCTGTGGGAGCCGGCGACGGTGGCGCGTATCGCAGATCAGGTAGCGTTGCCTCAGACACTGAGCTCGCAGCAGAAAGCACGCTTGGTGCGAAACCTCGAGCCCGACTTCTGAGACATGGGCAAATGAAACCCGCCGTATCGACAACTGGCGAGGCTACTAGCTCCAAGAAGCATGCTGAATTCAAAAATTTCAACCCTGGTGATGTTCCTGCAAAGGAACAGCCTCCTGGGTCGTCGGCCCGCTCAACAGCAGTGAGTGAAGAGCAGCCGCAAAACGCCCAAGATGCAGCATCTGCAAAAAGTAAACCATCTTTGCTGCGCCAATTCAGTAGGTTTATCTTTTCAAGGACATTCCAACCGAATTCACCCGGCTCCTAGGCGGCATAGATAACCTTTCAACACCTCCATCCAATTCTACTCCATCTCCGTCCCTTTCAACTGCCTCTGGGAGTGCAGTTGGTCGAAGCAAAGCCAATTCCACTCGTGACACCATCTCAAAAGGCATCTCACAGCCAGCAGGAGCTAAGCCTATTCCTAAAGGCCCGAGGTCGTCAATGGCTATGTTACAAGTGACTCTAGAATCTTCTCCCAAGGCACCGAAGTCGATGACAGCGACTAGGTCATCAGGAAAGGTACCCCAAAGGCCAACGGGGACATCCAATACTGGAGGTATCAAGAAAGGCACCTAAATCCCTCTTCGTGTTCCATTACCTTGTATGATTAACCGGGCTCTTCAATCACCCTGTCACTGTAAAGCACTCAAATTCCCCGTATATTTGTCTTACTCTCGTTTAATGTTTTACAAAAAGCTGGTTTCTTTTGTTGTACATGTAGTATGTACGCTGCTTAGATGGACGACAATTCAGTGGTACACATTATAGAAAAACAAAACCGGATTGAATAATAATTTCAATGAACATGTAACAAGTGCATCGTAGCTACCACCTCTAGCTGCACGGAACATGTGAGTGACTAAGAGTGGGATTTATTTGAGCCAGACTCGAGCAAGACACGTCGCTCGCGCGATCGCAGGTATCACGCGGCCCATTAGCTTGGTGTCAATAAAGTTAAACCCAATCAACAATTTGTTTTTGGGGACAATTCAATTTTCAACAGATCTTGTTCGGCCCCAAGGACTTGCGAGGGACCTAGATGATATCCGTGGACATTCAGCATAATTAGGGTGTGACAACTTGGAGTAATTGTTCTTGAGGTTTCTCGTGGTTATAATATATATATCATAATTGAAAGGAGTTACATAGCTGACTGTAACTACCAATGGTCTCGTTGAAATCTGAGAGGTGCATCAATGTTAGCATCGCGTTGGTCAATTAAGCAAGGCCACGACAAGACACACATATGGGTCGTAAGTGTAGAGAACGATAAGATGTGGTCTAAGAAGCCGGGAGGATGGTTAGCCAGGTTTGGTTTGATCAGCCAACGTAAGAGAGATGGATGCTCAAGGACCATATCATAATTTCGCCGTTGAGCCATACACCCTGGTCTCCCCCCACAGACTCCATACGAACGCCTCCTCCGGCGCTAGTCCACGCTTAACTATCTCTTCATACGCAGCCTTCACCTGGTCAGGACCACAAACCCGCCGAAGTGATACACCCCAGGTTCCACAGTCGGACATAAGCCTAGTCCAAGCTTCCTTCTGCATCTGAGTGATCGCAGAAACCGAAAGCTGTTGCTTGCGTATGGAAAGCCACTCAGGCATGAAAAAGTGTTCCATTTTGTCACCTCCTTGCGGAGCCTCTGAATCGGAACCCCAGCCAGTAGCAGACGAGGGTTCGGTTGTAGAAGCTGACACGTTCGTCAAGCCGAGCGCAATACATGTGACGAGTTCAGAGTCGCCACACGCACGGAAATGGTCGCGCACTCTGGCGTTAAGTGCATCGTTACCTGTAACGTCTACATATATCCAGCGTCCCCGTGCGAGGTCCCCGACAAGTGACGTATCGAATGACTCGTAGTCAAAGACATCGTCGTATAGGGCAAGACGTTTCGTGAAAGCGATATTCTTCTTTGACGTTAGTCCAATCACCCGTCTCGTCGAACTCCCCTGCAGAGAGTTACGTCTGCGGATCAGATATGCCAGGCAGAAGGCAGTCTTTGAAGAGGCAGAGGATATAAGGATATGAGTGGACCCTCCCTTGTAATTGGACGAATTAAGCCAGTCCTCACACCAAAATGAAGTCCAGAAAAGAGGGCGATAGAGCATTGTGAGATCTTCCGCAGTTGGTGATGGATCATATAACGGGTCCTCAGCGCACCGCGTAATCTGGTTGTACGGTCGGCGGTCTATGACATTTAGTGAGTGCCTTTGTGCGTCAATCTAGGAACCAAATCACCTGGAGGAAGATGAGGACGAGGCACAAAGAAAGCATACTTGTTGACGTTCGAAGATACCGCGAGTAAAAGATATCGTGCTGGGGCGAAGTATCCATACACTCGCTCTCCAGGATGGACTTTAGGGTGCGTGGACTTTATGATAGTACCAAAACCCCACACAGGAGTCACACCGTGAGTTGTTGAGGAGACTCCTTCTGCATCTGGAGCGTGGTGGAATTCAAAATACCTAGCATGCTAAAGTGATTAGACGACTTCGACATGTCTATGCGGAAAGGGACGGACCTGAAGTGCGAAGCCTCGCCCAAAGCTTGATATGTCATATTGTTCGTGGAGAAACCGAAGCGGTCGACTTCTAGCAGGACATGGTTATTGGGAATAGTCTGTGGAACTTCACATTTGACTATTATCGCTTGATTGGGATCTTGACTAGAAGACGCCCTTGGGTGACAGAGTATCAGATTTTCCATCTGTTGCACGTTGACATTCAGATTCGACAGACGAGGACCGACAGGACAATGGCACTTATACTGTGGTTAAAGCTAGAAGTGTATATTTACTACTAGTGTGTGTGTACCGCCACCACCGTGACTCATCTAATACGGCAAGTCCATGCCAGGGTTGAATCAAATGCGACAGGACGCGGGCGGGAAGACATGTAACTCATGATGCACAAGGCGGTCCTGCCAATGTCAGGAGGTATCAACTGTATTAAGTACTGATAAAGTTGATTGTACACTTGGTGTATTTCTATTGCTACTGTATTCTTGTTTTCACAATAAGCAAATCATCTGGTTTGACTCGGCGTTGTCGAAGTGCGGGAACAGTTCAGCAACGAGCTCGATACGCAGCAGAGCAAACCGCGCCAGATATGATACAAAGGAATGAATCGCTGCAGAAAGGATGTACAGAGGAGTCTAAAGAACAACGGGCAGGAAGATTACTGAGAATTTTGGAAGGAAGGCAAAACTGAGAGTTGTGAAAAAAAGAAAGCGCAATGTGCAATGTGCAATGATGATGAGCGGTATTTCTTGCTTTGATGAAAATGCGGATACGAGGTATTGGTTGAATAAATATGCGGTCGTCGTACGGGACGACACGATGTCATTCTAGTAGGGAGGGCGCTTGAACTCGTTGCTGATGATCTGTGCCTCAGGGTCGAATTCGTCGTCTTTTACGATTTTGCCACTGGCATCGTACTCGGCAACAGAGCGATCCGGACTAGCGAACGTGTCCATCTGGACATGTGGGATTCAGAATGCAGAGGAAGGCGCGTCTGTGGTAAGCTTTACCTGAACGTGTACACTGTCGCCTTTCTTGACGGAAATGCGACGATTTGCGCTAGCGTTGCTCCTGAATGCGAGTGTCGAGCTCTGGGTGGAACTGCGTTTGAAGAAAAGGTATAAGTTAAGGAACGTACAAAATGACTGAAGACGTACGTGAAAACCTCTGGACCTTGAGAAGTGAAGTTGGTCAACCTTCGTACGACGCGGCATGCTACGATCTGGAAGTGCATTTTAGTATGCACTCAAAAGACTGTATTTGTGCAAACCGTTGATGCGATGGCAGCAGGGACATTCGCAATGATCGATAGGACTGCATTCAAGTTTATGAGCATGAAGATCGTCGCCATCAAGTTTGCCAAGAATCTGGGGTAGTCACGATTGAATAAGCGAAGGCGCAACACACATCGAACGTACGCAATAACAAAGTAGATCAGACCGTCCCCAAATATAAGCTTGATAAGTTTGGAGCGACCGTTAGCCGGGAATGCGAGTTTCCAGCCGGTTAAGCACAAGACTGTGAAGTCAAACGCCATGGAGTAGATGAAGGTAATGGCGAGAATTTGGTTATCCGTGTAGATGATGACACATTCTTCATCTACCCATGCAGCATTCAACAAGATCCCTGATGAAATCAGTTGTTATACCCGCATATATGCGCTAGTTCAGTGGACGAAATGCGCGTACCATGAAGGAGGAATGACCAATGACCCAGAATGATCAGAACGAGGGCGGTAACTACATATTTGTTCTGCGACCATACCGCCATGCTGTAGTATGTGTCAGTTGCAGCAGGCCGTAAATATATACGTTTGCGACCGACGTTCGCAATGACAAATTGATGCTGGCTAAACCGATTGCAGAGTTTCCAAAGATCTGGTTGAAGGTATATAACGCTTGGCAATTAACCTCGGTTGTCACGTTGAGCGCAATAGAGCTAATTATTGTGCTTCAATAAAACGCGTAAAGCGAATGAAGAGACGGGACTTACATTCCGATCAACGCGAAGAGTAAACTGTAACGACCAGAAAAGTAAAATAACTGTCACAGATTTATTGTTCGAGGGGGGGACACTCAAATACTATGAGACCTTACCAAAGGCCATCGGAATCGCCTCTTGCCCGAGATAAACTGCCAGTCAAAATCCAACGAACTGACGAATTCCCATCTACACCGTATTAGCGACAATCCTTGACTCACATGAACGCATCTTACATGTAGAGCCCAAAGAGTACATGCATGAACTTGCTAAATGCCTCTACTCACACCACGTAAGGCTAATAAACCCAAACGAGATATCTCTCTGACTTACCAGCGTTGGCGACTAGCGTCTTTTGGGAGTGCCAGTCGACCATGGTAGCTTTCGGGATGTACAAGGAGGATGGTAAAGAGCCTGAGGGGGATGAGGCTTCGAACCTGAAGGTTTTCCTTAAATAGGGCACGGGTGCTTGTTGGGGCCTCCTTCTTGCCATATATGCGAGCAGCTTCTAATAGAACTTCAACAATATTATCGATAGCCTCTTCTTACACGGAACCAGTGACTGCGACGCAAGGACGGATACGTAAGGCACTCCTGTTCGGAACTCAGATATACCAGATACCCGAGGGGGGCACTTAGTCGTGATTTCGACATACGCAAGGGCCCTACCGCTCGTGACTACTTACCTATAGAGCTATCGTGCGTCCAGAACTTCAGCTTCAGCCCGGCATGGACACGAAGGTAGCAAACAAGACCACGTGGACGGTATTCTCGATTGATTTTCTGAAGTGGTGAGGATGATCCATGCTGTCCTCGCTTATCGTATCGATGATCTTTGGAGCAGTGGCACTTGCCATTTTATGTAAAGTTTAGAGAATCCCGCGAATTTCAAATACGGACTTGAGCGCAAAACAGTTTTGCTTCGTCGGATGAGTCTGCTGGATGTTTTATTTAGTACCAGTAGTACTTCAAGAAAATATCACAAACCGCTAACGAAACCGTCCTTCCTCGTGTTTTGTACGTGTTGTAGTAAAAACTACTATGCACTATGCTCTGTCACAACCAGATTCTATATGAATTATGAAAGCAATTAGATAGGTTGAGGAGGCAAAGGAGACCAGGTAGACCTTTTTGTCTTAGTTAGTGCAGCGATAACTGCATTCACTTGTTACACAAGAAAACCATCATTCTAGTTTCTCTTATACCCTAGCCTATGAGGAAACATAGTCGCCCAAGTACCAAGAAAGTCGTCTGTAGCTGAGCAATATTGTCGATGAATTTGAAAACCCTGTCCCCAATGACACGTGTCACTGGCATGCCCCGTTCGCTGACTAAGCGATCCCTTACTGTACGTCTTTTAGCCTAACCGGAACCGTTAGTAACCGACGGACGACGTTCTACATCGATTTCTTCCTGCTGGCGGGAAGCTGCATATACTGCTCTGAGGCTTGAGGTACAATCCAAGTTCTTCGTGATGATCAATTAGTACATGCCATGTATGAGTCGGATCAGTGCGGTCGTTGCATTGTAATGCCAACGTTCTATCCACTGATCGCAGTCATGGCGCCGCTGATGACATAGCTCTAGCATATTCAGGCCGAACAAAACAACTCGACCAATTGCAAGAGTCGAAGGAGACACTTACTGTGACGGACGGTCGAACTACTGGTCTTTCTTCCCAGTCAAATCTCTGCGCTCTGCATACATCCTCTTGTCTTTACATACTCAGTTTTTCTCATTGATCAGACTGACACTGTTATCTTTTCAGGTGATTTGAAATATTGAATTTCAAGTTTCACCACCAACGTGTTAGCCCAGCTGCAGCCATTCATCGTGTTGAAGAGCTAGTGCATCTTGATTTCTTGTCAAGAGCGTCGGACATGGTGGTTCACTACAGTGACTCAGCAGGCCAACTCAGTTCGTGTACGGCAAATATCGTGTGGAAGGGGCGTTCATCGAAAGCCATAAGCTGAAGCTTGTGGCGTTGTTAACGGACATTCTGAGAACAAGTTACAGCTATCATGCTGACGTCACAAACGGTGAGCATGGCTTCTTTCAGGCAAGAAGTTCTTTGCCTGATACCTTGCAGATCGCTGGAGCTGTAAACGAAACCGGACCAGGAGCATATCGGGGTTCTCCACATCGACCGTCTTCTGCAGGAGTTTTTTTCTTCGCGCAGGTGACCTTACGTTTTTGCTGGATTTGACACGCAATGTCTACAAACCTTTCTCGTGACCGCCCCCATCTCCGCAGGTAGTGGGTAGCCTACCTCTGTTCTCCGTTGATTCGGTCGACGGCTACCAGCAGTCCTTCATTAAACCATCATCCCACGTCTGTCACCCTTGTGATTCACCCACGTGTTGGTCCCCGTGCTCAGGCCTCAGGGACTGCTCATTTGCCATTCATTACCTCAGGCCCTCTCCCATTTTCTCACACTATTCGACATTCAAGCTTCAAGCCTCAATCAATTCATAAATAATGATATCGTGAATTCCCACGACTACCGAAGAAGGGCCTACGATATTATCCCCAACCTCTAATGCAATGAAGGTAAAGAACAGCACCTTGAGCTCTAACTGCATTCGTGCTCCTCGAACGACATTTTCTAAGTTGCCGCCAAAAGACTACTCATCTGTTTCGGTTCGTACATATACCGGGGGGCGAGTTCGCATCTCAGTTGCATATCCAGAGACTAGGGATGTCCACATAGCCCTTGTTTAGTAGCTGAATGCGCCGAGAAGGCCTATGGAGAAATTATCCGTCCTGACCAGCTTTTGCACGTCCCTCACTGTCCGATGTGCTCGCTCGTACCATCACCTCTTTGTATGATAACTTGGAACCCAAGTTACTTTTCAGCCGCCGTCCTCCTTACTTCATCTCCATTCTTAATTGGAACCGCCGGCATTCGATATTCAGCTTCCGATCGCGGCGCAGACCCCGGGCCCCGGCTATTTTATTATTTCCTCGGTTCGGCGGCGAAAATTTGGAGCCAGTCGGTCATTGATCAATTGCTACACTTGATCCACTAGTCAGATGCATCTACCCGAATCACGACCGAGACTTACAGGTCTTTTTGTTACCAACATATTCAAGTCAGTCGTCCATGCCTGCCATGGGACATTCCAGTCCAGTATGAGGTACAGTACCGTGACGGTCCGAATGGTATCCCCAGTTTAAGAGGAAGCATTTAGTCCATGGCCTGTCATGCAAGTCATGTCATTCAGGCATCTTGTAGCGGACTGACAGCGACTCGATACGCTGCAGTTGTATAGCTGGGACATCTTCCTACCAAATCAAAAGGTGGTCTCGATTCTGGACTCCTCAATAACTGCAATGATACTATCAAGTGCGGAAAGAACACGAAGGCGTTTCTTGATTCATGATAAGTAGGTGTGACGGTTTGTTCTTGAATAAGAGTTTCAATTATGAAATCAGCTTTGCCAAGAGCTCATGGGAGCGAACTCATTTTCACAGGAGAACGTTCCAGGGATCACCAGAGCACAAGTCCAATGATCAAACATGGAACGGGTTGGTACTGCATCAACCTGTCCGGGCAGTTGACGGGCTATAATACCGCCAACTTCTCATGGTTCATGCTTACAATCAATACAACCATGACAGCAATGGAACTTACGAAAGGGTAGTAATCCCGTGGACCGTTGTCGAAACAGATAAATAGCACGGCTCTGTTGATACTATCATAACACACTCCTTTATTCTCCAACTTGACGGTCTCGGTGCCGTTAATAACCGATCAGAAGCTTCAAGCAGTTCTCAACCGCTAATAAGATGGTAGACTGGAAATCGGGGGAAGTGATCCAGATGGATTCCAGTGCGTATTGATGATATTTACATGAGTTTTACTTACTCGCCCTCAGTGATCTTCCTGAAGTTTATGCATGCCCTGCTTGGTCTATACTTGTGAGATTAATTTGTTTGCGCAGTAATGATTATGATCTGATAGACGACTCAGATGGGAATTCTTTATCTCTCTGGACTTCGAATGGGCTGTCATGACGGGTAAGACGAGGTTCCGTTGGCCACTGGTGAGGACATGTCTGGTGCTTTGTTGAAATACATTTTGGAACCTGCCGTTCACCAGATTTTCTACTTTGCCGGTCGGTATCTTCTTCTTTTTGCACTCATTGGAATGTAAGTGTGTCATTCTTTCGTTCCACCATTTCTCACTCTTCACCCAGTGCTGTAGCCCTGGATACACCAAGGTACGCTGCAACGTCAATTATCGTCTCTCGATATACTAAACAGTTCTGTTTCTCACTAGTGAAATCAATTGTCAAGCACTTTATGCCTTTAATCAGGTGAGTTCACATCATAGGAAGAATAGCATAGAAGATCATTCCATTTAGCTGGCTGGCAATGCGGCAGTCGGACTCGCGAGCATCAACCTTTCTGTCCGGACGTGAGTCAAGGATTGCTCATGTGTCATCCCTGTCTTATCTGGAGATAGGATCGCTATTTGGTCTCAGAACACTTGGGTCGTTGTCCTCCTGATGTTGATTATTATCGGGCATTGGTCCCTCATTTTGCAAGGTATATCACCTTCTCACAAGCTCATGAAACCAGCTGATCGAGTGTCCTTGCAGGTATCCTTCTAACTGCCGTCTGGCTTCCCGGCGTCGGTTGTGCAATCGCTTACAGCGATACCACTATCCTTGCTGCCACTTTCATTTATTCAATGTGTTTCGACTTTGTGGTCTTATGCCTTTCGGCATATAAGCTCGCCTGGACTCATACGCGGAGTGGCACGAGCATCGCACCCTCCAGACTTGTCAGGATGTTGTTCTCTGATGGCTTGATATATTTTTTAATCGCGTACGTCTGTTTATTTCCTTTCCAGCTGGTCAACACATAACACTCCCTGCGTCAGGTTCGTGTCCAATGTGATCGCAACAACTATGATGGTGCTCAACTTGAACGCCATCATGAGTGTCATTTTCAACGTCCCAGCTGCTATCGCTTCAACAGTGAGCCTAGTTTCTTATATGCTCGTTTTCTTGCTAGACAATTCAATGCAGATTGTGGCATCTCGTGTTGTTAGGCGGCTGACCAACTTCCAGCGTTCAGGAGTGGAGATGATGTAAGTGTATTTTGCTGTATATAGATACGTCGGAGCTGCTACACTGTTCACTTTTTAGCAGCCGCCCTCTGGAAAACTGCGGTACCGCATTCAAGAACACTGATGCAGGACTTTCTAACCCGGTTAGCACACCAAGGACTACTGGCGTTCATGTTGAGGTGGGTAATAAATCCATGTGATGTGCCTTTCTTCCCTCATCGATGTCACTGTGCACAGATGGACACCTTTACACGTGCAGCGAATTTTGACCTTGAGGGGTATCGTAGTGTCCATCGCACCGCATCTTCAGCAGCAAGCTACAGTGAGGACCATAAGCCAGTTCAGGTAGTTTGACGTAAATCCCGCATTGCCTGGATGTCTTCGATGACCAGTCTTGCGCGCGAGATGCTTTTGCATTTATTTTCATTTGGACTATTCTCAGAAATTCAAGTTGTTAATTATTTACCCCACAACGTACTTCAAAGGTACTGCTCGATGGTTCCTTTCCAATAACAATGAGACCCCACGTAGTACACAATGACGAGCCCAAAATTGGAGTCGGTCTTATCTACAATGCGATTCATACTACTCTCGGATGATTCAGGCAGACTCCTTTAACTTGTTCATAATTAAATGTCATTATGCAGAACTCAGCACCAGTATCGTCTGTGCCTTCAAATTCATTGTTGCTTACTAGTTAATCTGATGCAACTCGTATACAGGAAAAAAAATAGGTTTCATTGAAAAGAGTGTAATGGTCAATACACAATATATAAGAGCATTTACATAATATTTCTAGTTACGAGCAATCACAAATTGTGTTGTATATGACAATTGCATTTCACTGGCCCGTCCCGTACCATCCGCGCGTTCTCCGAGACCGAAGCCCAGCTGTCTGTGTTCTCTTGCTGGCGTTGCGTGGCGCAGTGACGTCACGGTGCCATCTTAAGTAAGCTTGCACAAGACCATCAATTTGCGATCAGCTTACATTCTACATAGTAATTGAGGCGCTGTCAGCATAAGACGCCAATTGCACTAATGATCCAGACCATCCAGATGTTAAATCATTACCCGTCACACTATATAATCCCATGTTCCGAACCGTGGCACGACCCCAACCTTCTCTGAATCCACATCATGTCAGACGCACCGGAAGTCAAGGCCACCTCGAACGGCATTCCTCCTCCAAGCTTCCACTTGCCAGTCAGTCGTCGTCGTGGTACTCACAGGTTCTTTCTGACAAGGCACTAGTTACCTGATAGACCAGACATCATCACCGCCAACATTCAGAAACTCACGGAGCTAACGCCGAATCCGTATGTGCCATGAGTACTTCAAACGCAAATGGGTACACATATAACATACTGTATGCATGCAGACGCCACAGGTTCATCTTCAAGGCACTGATCAAGCACCTGCACCAGTTCATCAATGAGACCAGGCATGTATGCTTCCTGTAAAATCTCCAGTTCTCGATTGACGCCACGACTATTTCTAGTCTAACCACAGACGAATGGATGGCAGCAATTGATTTCTTGACGCGCACTGGACAAAAGTGCACACCATTGCGTCAAGAAAACATTCTGCTATCGGATGTCCTGGGTGTTTCTGCTCTCGTCGACGCGCTAAACAATCCCGTTGCGGGAGGTGCAACAGAGAACAGCGTCCTGGGTCCATTCTTCACCAAGGACGCTGCAGATGGTGAGTTGCAAGCAATTCCAGCGCACTTCTATTTGTAAATCGACTCGCAGTGGGATTTGGTGAATCGATTGCGTCTGAAGGAAAAGGAGATTACATGTACGTCGAAGGTCGGATTTTGACGACCGACGGGCAGCCAATCTCCAACGCCGTCATTGAAACTTGGGAAACCGATGACCATGGTTAGCTCCTTCCAAATATTATCTTACGATTCATACTCATTATCTCCGTCAGGATTTTATGACACTCAGTACACAGATCGCTCACATCCCGACTGCAGAGGTCGCCTCCGCTCCGACGATGATGGTAAATTTGGCTATCGCGCTGTTGTGCCAGTAGCGTACCCAATTCCTGGAGACGTAAGTCGATGTTTCATGGCTATGTGATCTTACACCGAAAATGTCGTCCCTAACAGGGTCCTGTTGGTGAACTTCTTCTCCTTCTTGGCCGGCACAACATGCGGCCAAATCATTTACACATGATGGTCGAAGCTCCTGGTTTCCACAAGTTGGTCACGGCATTTTATCCAGATGGCCGCGACTATCTAAGAAGCGATTGCGTCTTCGGTGTCAAGAAATCCTTGGTAGTGGTATGTCTAGGTTCCTGAGTTTCTTTGAGGCCACTTGGTTTGACACTTGTCTTTACAGAACTTAAAGGACGTTGTAGAGGATGAAGAAGCTCGCAAACGCGGATTTCCTCAGGGTGGCTCATTCAAGTTATTGCAATATGACATTGTGTTACTCACAGAAGATCAGTCTGCCATAATACGTGCTGGCGTTGGAGAACGTTACACGATTACGTCGGACCATAAAAGTGATAAATCATAATGGACTCGATACGGCGTCATCATGTATTTCAGATATTCTGTTTTACTCGTCAAGTTCTTTGCTGCAATGCCGTACCGACATCTGACATTTTTTGGAACACCCCATGTGACGTAGAATGCAAAGTGGATGTTCAGTGTTCACTAGAGTGTCTGGTGACTTGTTACGATTCCGAAATAGACCGGCTCTCAGTCTTTCAATGTTATTTTGTAAAGGTAGGACCCCTCACAAAGGAGTATTATCCTTAGTGACCCTTCCCTTTCCAATAACGACCACTTCTCCCTTCTCGATTATCTCCCACAAAGACCATCTCTCTCACTTGTTGACTATCCACAACGACTATTTCTTTCCTTTCTTACTGCGGGCAAGGTCAAAAAGGGAGGGCCCTTGAAGACGAAATGCGCGCGTGCGTCTCACGTAGTTCTCGCGTGCGCTTACTTGACCGACTTTCCAGATACATCGTCTCTATTCCTAAACTCATTTTGGTTCTACATTTCCTTCCTACCGGTCGCCGGCTACCACATCGGTGATTGCATCTTACATCTAATATTTAGTACGACGTTCTATAGCATCTACAACTGCATAACCCAATCTCAAACGAGCGCATGGGTCGACTGATATTCAGGTAGGCCAACGTTGCATCGGGGAAGGACCCGTGAACCGATCAACGGTGTTGAACCAGCCTAGTTGCGCTGCGTCACAAGATTTTGGAAACGGATCAGGTTTCTGAAGAGTCAACGAATTCGAAAGCAATTGTCTTGTTCATCAGAGACAGAGGTCGCAAAACCATGCCATTCAGTGCACTCTGCACCGTGGTACTATTACATGCTCAAGTACAAAACGAAGTCTACTTCGAATTCATCATCGCTCGGAGGTGTCTTTCTCTCGCCGTGTTCACACTTTCAAACGAGCACTGAAATGGTTCAGGGCGACTTCGGTAGAGTCAGCCGCAGGTTCTCGAGTGCATACTAGGCTACTTACATCGCCAAGCCGGCGGTGAACTCCGGCTTCACCTCAATCCTGTTTCCGTTTGAGTCTTTGGCATGATCGATGCGCAAGACGGCGAGTATGGTAACAGTTGCGGTCCAGAGACTATTCTCTGCAAACCAACGACCTGCCAAGGAAATTTGACATTCTCAGCACTGCCAGATCAACCATGAATAATTTTACCAGGACAAATACGCCTTGCAGTAAGGGTCAGCGAATGACTTTAAATGATAGTAAGTGCAGAATATTCACCTGCCATGACCAAAGGCAAAATGGTTGACGAAAGGATCCTTCAGCTTCCCGTCAGCTGTCAGATGGCGACTCGGATGGAAGCGCGATGCATCGGGGAATATGTCTTCATCCCGAGAAAGTGCCCTGAGCCACGCTCAGCTCAAGCCGCCGGTACATGCACTCCACCATGACATACCACTGATTAACCATCACCATCGCGCCTGATTGCACTACAGATGAGTCAACGACAACTTCGACACATACGACTTCGAACCTTTGGGTATGAAGTACCCGTCGTAAACATCATCATTTGATGTCGCATGTGGAATTCCTGTGCAAGTGGTCCAACATTCAAACAGAGCTATATTACTGCAGACTAACCTAGGGGAACGACAGGATACCATCTCAGGACCTCGCGGAGAATGGCATCAAGATAGGGCATTGACGCCCTGTCATCAAGGCACGGCATTTTATCATGTTTTACAGCTTGGTCGATTTCTGCACGAGCCCGGGCTTGGACGTCAGGATAGAGCACCATGGTCAGCAGGAATATCTGCAATGCGGCTGCACTCTGCGGGACATCAAAGTAAGAATCAGGTCTGTTTAAGTAGCTACTCACAGTGTCCATGCCAACTAAGATGCCGGATTCCCGTCAATGGATAACTTTTGTCCTGGTAAAAAAAACTCTTACCCATGTACCCCGTCAACGCAACAGCCTTCATGGTGTCTTCATCAGCGTCGTCGTGAGCTTGACTGAGAAAGTCAGCGACCAATGAGTGTGAAGCAGTCCCATTTGCCTTCACGCAAACAGATCAGGTAAAATTTCCATCCAGAGCTCTGCGCAAGCGCACCATTTGTGCCTTCACTTCATTGAAGGGCTCGTTCAAAAGCTGTTGAGCTAGTTCTCTAGAGCGTCCCATCAGGGCAAATGCTCCACCGAAGCACCAGAACGGTAACTTTTCGACTGCAACCTTGTGTTGAATGTTCAAAATTATGTCGTCGATAAAGGCACTCACGGAAAGGAAAGACTGTGAAAATGGCAGCCTTCTCGGGAGAAGTAATATACTTGCCAATATCCAAAAGTTCGCGCGCGCGGGAAAGAAATGGGTCTTCATGTCCGTGAGCACGGTATCCATATGTCACAGCCATGATTAGGGATGCCGCGTATCTGTCACAAAGATTGATAGTCAACTGGATCATACGTCACTACGACATCGCTGGATCAGATACGAACGTTTCAGTCTGATGCTGCGGGTCACTAATGGCATCCATGAGATTAACCACTAGCTCATTTGCGTGGCGAGAGTACATCTCGTAGTGTGAGACCGAGACTTCGGCCCTGAGGACTTGGTGGAATATCTTGCGATGTTGCCGTAAAGTCTCGCCATATGGCAGGAGCACAGTACTGAAATCCACTCCAGCTCTGTATCGTCAGTGAATGAATAACAAACTAAATGAAACCCGACAATGCATACAATTCGTTGGTGCGAATAACGGGGCGAGTAGAGTAATTCCCAGAACGCCTGTCGAGCAGCTCTCGCGCGATCGTTTCAGAGTTTATAATAATCAAGTCGATCCCAAATATGCAGGAGTGAATGATTTTTCCTATGATCAAAGATGAAATTGAATCTGAGAGCTTGGCAAAGAGGCCATTGGTCTGCCACTAACCATATGTCTTTCCCCACGCAGTGTATGTGAGCCAAGGTCGTTTAGTATCCAATTGCAGCGCGTTACCGAAAAATGGTAACGGAGGAGGGCCAGGCGGCAAAGGTAAAGGGTAGACACGTCTGCGAGTCAGATGCGAAACGACAACCAGGGCAACAATGCACGATATCGCTGAAGCTAGAATATGAGTGGAGTGCATGGCGAGGGATTATGGTCGAGCCCAAGACACGTTTGACGGTTCGCCTCATAAAAGGCGTCTTTGACCCGAATAGCATGCATGAGTTGAAGACAGGAGTGACGGTACCTGTGACAAATGTCAAGTACGTATAGATAGGTGGCTGTGGCGTTCGTTGAACGTTCACACGAGAAAGAGTCGATTGGTTTGAATCGTCTTAAGGTTCGAACAGGATAACTGTCCTAACTAAATGTTATTCAAAAGGGGGGATGAAAATCAACTACCCTAACAGTAGATATACGTCGGTTTATATACTGTAGGGAAAGAACTCTATGGAATAAGACAGAATGAGTGAATATGAGTATCTAAAGAGACTGATGAAAGTAAATATCGGTTGCCAACATCAATGCGTAGATGTTGGCTTTTTTAACGAGCGTTACATACGCCCTCCAGGTCCTCTAAACGAGGGGACCTTTCTTCAGGTGATGCGAGTTCCTTTAGTTCTCTCGCGTCGGTCCAAGGGACGCAAAGGCAGCTGAGAGAAGAACCAAGGTAAGAACATTTACTATCAATATACTAATAAGGATGAGTCTACCGAAAACGTCTTCGGTGGTGACATCAGGCATCCGTGAGGCCTGTTCGAGGTCGAGCTGCTCAGCAGCTGCGATAATCTCCTCTACGTCAGGTCCAGGATCTGCCGTTGGCGCAGTACGAGCGGGAGTAGGGGCTAAGATGGTAGCAGCGTTGGTGGTCACGTCGGCGATGACCTGGGCAGCGGTGGTAGGTCTAGGACGGTGGTTATGGGCTGGTCGCTCACGAGGAGGGTAGGCAGGACGGGTATAATGAGGAGGTGGACCAGACGCAGAGGTGCGGTGGTCTAGGGTGAGGTTGCGGCTGCGGTGAGCATGGTGTCGGAACTCACGAGCCCGCTCGGCCCGGAGCTCAAGGTCGAAAGCATGGGACTCCTTTCGAGTAGCTAGCTCTTTAGCCTGGGCCTCAGCCCTGAAGAAACGCGTGAATGCTCCTAGAGCATCAGCGTCTTCGTTGGGTCTTCGTGGAGGAGGGTGACGCCCTCCACGTCCCCTTCGTCCCCTTCCAGGACGGCCCCTGCCTGTCCGAGTGGACCGGTGAGTTGGGGCATGTTCTCCAGGCTCGCGACGTGCCGGTGAGACGTCGACGAGCATCGCATCATGCGAAATGGGAGGAGGAGTGGTTGACATGGGGGAGGATTCACGATGTGGGTTGAAGTGCTGAGTGCCCGTTAAATAAGGATCAGGAAACTCACTTAGGGAGGTTTGGCTGGCGAGATCAGTCAACATTAAGTCTGTGATGCCGGATACAGTATCTCGGGCCCTCGAGAAAGCTTCCGTGATGCAAATGGGGATAGAGCTTGAGGAGGTCGAAATTTTCCTCGGTAAGTGAGATATGCCAGGGACACCCAGTGCTTCCAAGTACTGGGATAGAGCCTCCAGGCGCGACACCTGATGGTGGGGAAACCACGCACGGTCGCCAGTGGAATACTCTACTTCGAAAAGGGCATCAGCGCCAGAACCCTGGTGGTTCACGATTTTGGCGACGGACCATTCTTCAAGGTGCCCTATGTCAGAGACTTGGGCTAGCTGACGACCAGGGAATCTACGATCGTCGTTAGGGATATGTGGACGGAGGAGGTGTGCATGGAAGGCCGGGTGAAGTCCCCGTTGTTTAAGTTGGGCTGGGAGGTCGAGTAAGAATGAGTTGTTCTTGTAGTCCTCGAGTATACGATACGGTCCGATATATTTCGGAGCAAGTTTGCGAGCTCGACCTTTAGGGAGCGAGAGGTTTTCAGTCGACACGTACACTAGATCACCCTTGACGAATGGGGACTCAACTCTTTTCCGATTGGCGGTTGCGGTGCTTTTGGCACGTGCAGCAATTATCGCGTCGTGAGCGCCCATGATCGCATCCTTCATTCGTTGCGCGAATACTCATACCCCTGGGAACTCCGAGTTCGTGTTCCAGATCATTGGTGGAGGTAGCCTACCGTAGTTTAGTACAAATGGGGGGTACTTGGTGGTGTCTGAGCACGCCGAGTTGATCGCGAACTCGATGGCCGGTAGTTTAATCGC